GCAGCGTGAACATGATTTCAATTGAAAACGTTTAGTTCTGTATCCAAAGTGTAATCGTTCAACGGCGTAACGTTTTCAGTTTTATATAGATCGTATCTGCGGGTTCTGATACGGTAGTTACGTGTTTGTGCGTGCACATTTCTAGGTGCTTGTGCGAAGGTGCTAATTACTTTGGTTGTGCAACTCATTTAGGAATACCTAAACATGACCAGCACTACAGAAATTTAAAACAGTTTGGCATGGAAGACTCGAACAAGTTACACAGTGCGATCATTTGAAAGGCACAACACTGCTGTATCCTGCGGGCTCAAGTAGCTTATCAAGAGTTGATCAAGAGGACAAACAGAGTTGTTTAACACAATGGCTCTATCAATAAATTATCGATGCTAGTTTAGAGGGAGTAGTGTCCTGTGGCACTTTACTTCCTTAGCATGCAAAAGACTACTTCAGATGGACCAGAAGGTTTTTGGAAACGCTGTGCTACTTGACGAAGATCAGTTGTAGTACATTTGATGGCTAGAGCTAAAAATTAAGAACCGAATAGTACTTTTTAAAATCCCCGGCGCCATGTTGGAAAATACACCGCGCAAACACCATAGCAAGGCTGACGATGACCCACCGAAACATAAACATAGGGTTCAGGGCTCTTTTCGAGAGAATGTTTTCCACATTTATTCTTTAATTAACGCGTACTAAACGATCATCGTACTCGAAGGGAGGAAAACTGTAACGATATCCGGGAACTAAAAGGGAGGTTATGATGAAACTTTGCGCTCTAATACAGACTTAAACTAGAAAATCACGCCCAAAATGGGGAAAGGGTTTATAATGTGGATATCCTAAGTACAATAATATAATCAGGAAATATCTGCGCTAAGTTTGAAGCATCCTTCGTACAACAGATCTTTTTTATCGCTTTTTATATGAAGGCGGTTGAGTGGTAATCGGCTGGAAAAGCTGCCTCGAAACATCCTTCAAGAAATGTCCTCATTAGAGGAAGTGTAAGTATAAATTTTAAGATTTTTTTTCAAAAATTCTTGGTCAACGTTACTATTCCTTTCCTCTGTATTGCATTTGTGATGTATTGTTTTCAGTAGTTCAAAATATGGTTTTATACACCTGTCGTTCTTGATTTATTGATCGGAGCCACTAGTTAACCAGTCGGACATGGAGTTTGATCAGTCTTGTGTGAGTAGTTCTTAAACAGGACGTTCCAAAATTATAGAATTGCTCAATGAAGTTCTACTTCCGTTGCAGACAAAAAACGTGCCGCCCTCGAAAACGAAAAGTCGCACTTTCTTCCTTTACGTTAAATCCAGAGAGAATATATTTCTATTGAAACGCAGACACAGATTTGACGAATTCTCAAAAAAAAAAAAGAAAAAACAGAGTAATTACTCTAAAAAAACCTGTCGACACATTTTTGCTCTCATTTTGTACGTTTTCATGCTAACTCACATGCTTGCTTGTAATTTGGCATTAGAAAAATTTTTGACTTAAAACAAATCGTAAATTTTATAAGGACTTTTGTTGTTTTGTTTTGTTTTTTGTTTTTTTTTCGGTATGGGTCACGTGACATTGGGCGTGTCCAGATGACCTTACCAGCTTGCTGGCACTAACTTCCTTGAACAATTGTCCAAAGCTAGTCCAATAAAAAAAAACAACAACAACTTCGATCTATAACCAACTAAATCCACCTTCTCCCTTTTTCGAGAAGCAAACATTTTGCGCAATGTTTGCATCTTTCCTCGCTAATATGAAAAATTACTACGCAACTCAGAAAGGATCCGTCTGCCTTACAATTTTGTTCAATCATCGAATAAGGTGGATTTATTTATCGAACGTAAAAGAAACCAAAGAAAATTGGACAGGAAAATTTGAATGTTTTCCAGAGAGGGAGTTTTCAAGTATTAAATTTTGAGCTGGTGGTAAGATTTGAACACTGCTGTGAAGATCTTTTCTCAAGTTCAACCCAACACCTCTCATTTAAGATATGCTTTTTTTAATAAATGAGCGTGATTTTTTTTGTTAATACATCGATTACTACAACTGATTAATGAACTGCATCTGCCTAAGTTCTATCAGATAAGAATTTCGACAAAAAAAAAGTCATCCAAGACAAAAATTACAGAGTTCCATATGACCCTTGGAAATGTAGTTTGTTAACTGAATGTTTGTTTGTTTGCTTGTTTGTTTGCTTGTTTGTTTGTTTGTTTGTCTTTTTTCTAACTGGCAATCATCTCATTCTCCGAACACTTTTTTTAGGGACTTATCCTACAATCAGTTGCAGAGTTTGCCTCGAGGAATACTAAGCAGTAATACCAAACTGAAAGTATTGTAAGTAGGACTTTTCTATGTACCAAAAAAAAAAGTTTACAAGTCAGTGTTGACATTCATACATGGGATCCAAACCCGTTGAAAATATCGTTCATTTCTACCTTTTGTCGTACTGAGGTTGCTCCTTTGGAAATTACGGAGTAAAGTGTTATTTGAATGATTATTATTCATAGATGTCATAATACAATGAAAGGTCTCCCTGCCATTATTGTCTTAACAGAAGGTCTCTCAGCTTTAAGCGTGGAATAAATATGTCCTTTGAGTCCAGTTGCTGCATATTGGAGATTGTTGGTCATAGTTGATATTTTTAAAGACACAAAAGAGCTTGTCATTTCCTTATTTGGTAAAAGAAATAGCCAGTATTTTATTATTAACTAGCCGATTTGGCTCACATTACAGAAATACTTGGGACTTTCTCGTCTTCCAAGGAGAATTTATGTTCTTAAATGTTAGCTAACTATTTTTCTCAAAGGGATTTGTCAAACAACAAAATTCAGCGTCTTCCCAAAGATGTTTTTGGCAACCTTTCTCAGTTGAAAAGGCTGTAAGTGGCATTTTCTACGCCTTTACAGCGAGTGAAACCGTACATATTTTTATTTTTGAGATCTTAGTAAACCTTTACATTGTGGCCATTCCAAATAGAATGCTATTACAATAAACATATCAACGTAAACTACTGCATGCACTTCACTAGGCTCAGCATATAACAGAGCGGAGAGAGGCTGGAAACTCTCTCCGCTCTGGTATATAATGCTAACTTTAGTGGATTTGGTCACCAACAGTAGTCAAAAGAAAATATAGATGAAAAAAGTGAAATTGACTGTCTCGCTTAGTGCTTTTCTCCACTCGACTTGTGACTTCCTTTTGTTTTTTGCCAAGCGTTCAGAGTACGTTTAAAATATTACAGCCCAACTACCACAAGATTGATTTGCGATATGAGCAACACCTCAAAATCATATTTTCGATGCACCAATCCTGTCATGACATGTCAACGACCATTTAAACTGCGGAAGTACAAAAGGCAAAAGGTCTAGCTACTCAGCTAAGATGTATTACCTTGAAAATAAAAACAGTTAAGTTTTACTGTCAATTCACGAGGTCCCTTTTGCGATTAAAAAAACTCTCCGAGAGTCTCAAATACCAACGCAGTTAACTTTTTATCCCTGTCTATTTTTTTCTTTTTAAGCTTTCTCTCAAATAACAAACTTCAGCGTTTGCCAAAGTTAAAAAATCTCTCCGAGATAGAAACATTGTAAGTGATTCGTGTTTGTAATAAAAACTGGCTCAGTACGTGTCTTGTTTAATGAGAATTAAGGAAAAGGGAGCTTTGGCTAGAAATAGAGGATCAGTGTGCCTACCCATTATGTCTCTGATATTCTCATGACCGAATGGACACCTGGTTTAAGGATTTTAATCGAAAAAATATACAGTAACTTTCAAATGGTTGCAGAAAATAAGAATAATTAACCATCATTTTTTTAAGATAACGCAACATATGGAGGATGTTACATGGCCGCGCAAAGATACGAAATTTCTCTTCGAGTTTTGAAAGATACTTTTTCAACGCGAGAAGATAAATTTCGTTTCTCCTAGCGGCCATGTAATATTCTACTTATTATATAAACACTAATAAAAACCCTAACCATTTCGCTTTAGCGGCAAAAGGTCCAACTTATTTTGGAATCTTGGTAACGGTGATATTTTTACTTGTGAAGATAACGTGTTACTTTCACGGTGAGCGAAAGCTCGCCAGGTATTTCATTAGTGTTTATATACCAAAATATAATACCACACACTACTTCATTGACGCTTCCCCATGAGGCTAAAAGCGATATATGATAATGATGATCACGTTCAAAATCGTAGCAAAGAAAAAACAACGCAGTTAATCAATTGGGCTAATAGTCATCACAAGACATTTGAGTTCATGGCTATTCAAAATCTCTTCAAAAAAACGTCTACTAGATAGTAGGCAGTCTTTTTCAAATCTAAATTTCAGGTCGAATGTTAATCAGGACACAAAGTCCATAATTTTCAGGTTTTTTCAAGAAACAAGGGCTGTTCAAAAGCTTCGAAATCCGTACTTCTATAAGACATTTAGATACGAGCCTTTGCTCGATCGCAAAATCAACTAGGCACAAAACTGGCCAGCTAGTTTATATCGGCTTAACGACGATGTACACCCCGGGTTTATACCGTCGCGTTAAGCCATTATTTAACCGGCGGTCAGAACAATCAGGGCAACTGTGGTGTGATCAAAATGTTCTCGTCCCGGTGAAAGCAGTCTGGTAATGCTTTTAATGAAGTTTTAGACAACTTTTATGTGCAGTAAAACAGTTTGCTGAAAAACTAAGCACGAATGATTTAAAGAGGAGAGTTTATATGAGGCGAATGAACGATACGAATGATCGGTTCTGTCCTCTGTACCGGTTCACAAGAGCCGATACAAAAGACCGGACAATACACAACAGCTAACCAATGACTCCTAAACAAAGAAAGAACAATGGTAATTCCCTTGTGAACCAGTACACCAGGACAGAACCGAATGATCTTAGCCGGACCCGAAGATGAACGTTTCTAAGCCCATGCAATTATTTAAAATTATCTTTACTGTTAAATAGCGATACAGAGCGTCTCGTGTATTTCATTAATCGCGTAGGTACATGGAGAAAAACAGCCTCGTAACCCTGTCACCGGATCAGTTCCAAGGCTTGTCCAAATTGAGAGACTTGTAAGTAAACCCAGCAATTTTATATGAACGAGATGGCGGACGGAAATTATATCTAATTACACTAGTAAAAATTCTTGACCTTACACGAGATATCTGATCATCTGTAATCAATGTTCATTAGCGGCTCTCTTATTATTTGGTTCATTTAAATTTTCTGTTAGAGGATGTGCGATTGCGAAAGAAAAAAGATCATATACTTGCGGAATAAGTAACTCTAAATTATAAGTTAAATTGTATCTGTGGCGTGATACAAAAAGTGACAAGACTTGTTCCCTCACCCGCTTTTGCTTAAGGTTTCGTTGAGTTACTCAGACTAGTGTGCCTTGGCTGCCTTAGATTCAGACACCTTGGAGGTTACCAGAATCACGTATGACGTTGCTCGAGTTTGAAGTTGGTATTACATCCAGGCGAGCAACTGCCAACTCTGATCTCATTGGCATGATGTCACATGACAGGAAAAAAAGACAATTACTAAAAGGATGTAGCAATTGTTTCTCATACATAAATCAGTGCGTACTCATACTCGGATTAAGCAAGATAACCGCTAACTGCCATTACCTAATTTTTTTAGTAGTCCCAAGCAGTGAGGTATTTTCAATCTTCTTTTCGGCGTACCGTATTGTATAAGGATATTTTTGTACTAAGACATGGAAGAGTCGATAAAGCTCTCAGAAGTTTTTTTTTTATATATTTGCAATGGAAGTTTGCTTCTAGAGTTTTCTGTATTTTAAGTAATAACGACCTGTCCTCTTTGTCATTCAGGGCTGTTTATGAGAACAATATTCAGTACCTGCCGCCTGGAGTTTTTAAAGGCTTAACAAACATGCAGTCTATGTAAGTCTCTGTTTCTCATTAGAATTTTCAATCGACGTTAGTGAAGCTCTGCAAAACTGGGGTCTTGTGAAAGTGCACTCGTCGGCATGTTCTGCATCTCCGTCATTTGAGCAGGTTGAGTTTGGGTTTTGGTCGAGGGTCGAGGGTCGAGGGTAAAATGTCGAGTGTCGAGGGTAAAATGTCGAGGGTCCAAGAAAAAAGTCGAGGGTCCATAAAAAACTAAAATTTGTAAATTTTAAAAAAATTAAATGTCGTGAGATGTCAGAGGAAACTCAGAAATTACATATGAATAAATTCCAGACATGTTGTGACTTATTGTTTTAGTATACTTTCACGCTTCATTTACACAGCCTCCACAAATGCACCCGCAACCGCAAATAAATGGATGCCGGTGATGTTTTGCGAGACGTTTCTCTTGGTATTAATTATGCCAGAAGGCACACTTGATTATGAAAACAAGCTGTTTTTAATACAAGCCATAGTCGAAAAGAGAAGTAAAAATATATATAAAACCAAAATAGCGGAATGAGATCATCATCTACTAAAGAGTGCTAAATAGCAGGGCTAGAGCTATGGATAATTATACTTCAAGATTTAGGTTACTTGAACTTTTACTGCAACTCTGAGTTTCATGCCTCTTGCGAAGCAATCGTCAGGCAACTGCCAGAAATAACGGTTACAATCCACCGAAATTTAAAAGACAGAACAATGTGTACATGTGCGCGCAATATACTGCACGCGCTATCGTAACGTTACGTTCTTTAGCAAGAATTTCCTGACATGTCTGCAACATGATGTCAGCTCATTTCTTTTGTTTAACCTGGCCATTTGCGGTTTACAAATGATAAAATATTTCTCCCACAAACACAAATTGCATCTCTTAGCTACATTGTAATACGAACTAGCTTGTTTCACCTTGGGCCACTTAATATTAAACTTAGTGTCCTTATCTTTAAGACTCCATATATATTTACTAAGTTCAGTAGCGTGCCTGTATCGTTCGTTTCGGAATGAACACAAATGGTTCCTGTATCGCATTTTAAAAGCGGTGTCACAGAGACCAATGTACGTTTCCTTTGCGGTGTCTGTAGTGTCCTCTGCCTGGTAAATTATGCTTTCCATGTTACAGCTTCCATCCATGGGGCATATGTAAGGTTTTCTACAGTTGCAGCTTTTCCTAGCTCGATCATTAGTGCGTGCGAGTTTCCGGATTTCAGATTTCTTATGGTTAGATATGACAGCTTTAATGCTGCCCATGCAGCTGTAGCTCAATTTAAGGGTGTTTCGGTTGAAAATTTTGTGAAGAGGATTAGTTTTGGTGAAATGCTTATCAATAAGTGCAAGGAAGTATTTTCCGACGTTAGTTTCCACGTTCTTGCTATTTGGTGGGTTAAACCATGTAATGTTCCGCTGCCTGTTTCTTCGTCCACGTGGTGCCTGATTTGATGCGGCTTTGAATGACAGGGTGTAGCTATACCCACTTTTACATATAGCAATACCATACCATATAGCACTATACCATATATACCACTATACCACTATACTATAGGGGGGACCATTGGATGAAGCTAAAAAGGAACCTACGTTTGATTGTGGTGTGGCACTAGAAGCGGTTTGTCCGAGATCCACAGATTTCACGACATTTAATTTTTTTTAAATTCACGATTTTTAGTTTTTTTATGGACCCTCCACATTTTTCATGGACCCTCGACATTTTACCCTGGACCCTCGACCCTCGACCAAAACCCAAACTCGAGCAGCTTGTGTCAAAAATTACACACGAGTGATCACGATTGACAGCGAATAACCACGAGTGACCACTAACAACCAAGAGTGACCATTAACAACCAAGAGTGGCCACAAGTGATCAAGGGCAAGAAGTCATAAATTTTGGCTGACATCATAATCTCATTATCATCAGGTGACTTCATCTAAAGACTTGTGATTTCAACGTAGATAAACCATTTCCGGAGACTGACATATGCAAACAATATATCACTTCCTTCATTGAAAGGGTAGTTGAAGGAGCTACTTCGCTGTCAAAAGTTGTTACGTGATGAGCCCGTTTCCGCCCAGTTTCCTAAGACAGAAGGAAGGGAGTTTGGGAAATGAATGGAAAGAAAACGAGCAATAAATACCAAAAATACGTTAAATTATAAAATAAAGGATAAAAACAAAACAACAAAAAAGGCAAAGATAAACGTTGACGGATAAGAGTGACGAGTGATTGAAACCGGATAAAATGTTCGTGTGGCGGGAAGCAGGAACATCACATCACTACTTCCTTCCTCTGGTTATTGCTTACCAGTTACTTTTGATCACACGAGTCACTAATGGCAAGTAGTCCTCACTCGTGCTCACTTGCAGTTACTCACGGTCACTCGTAGTCAATCATGATCACTCGGGGTTACTCGTGGACATTCGTAGTCACTCGTTGTCATTCGGTGTTACTCGTGCTCCCTCACAATCACTTATCCTGCTTTTCTTTAATCTAAATTTATGCTCTCGTGTTTGTCATTAACTGAACGAGTTACCCTTTCATTCTATCGTCATTTACAGGAGCTTTTATTTCAACAAAATCCGCACAGTGAGCAACGAGCAATTTAAAGATATCGCGCCAAGTATTCGATTCCTGTGAGTATGAGCAAACTGCTATCATTCAAGGTGTACATGTGATTAAGCTTCACGGAGAGTTAATTCTAAATTCAAGGGAGACAATGCCCATAACTCTCGGATTAGTGTCCCTTCCCCCATCTTCACGGACAAGTAATCCAATTGGCCGAATCATGCAAGTTAAGAATTGCATTATTCGAGTTTCCTATAGATACCCGCCTCTACAAGTGTAGAACTAAGGACGGGTTTTGTATACCAATGCAAAGTTTATACCGTTATTCACGAGCAAATTTTATGCTCCTAAAAACCAATCAAGTCTGGCCACTGAGAACTTTGGGAAAACCTAATGAGGGCTTCCTCTCAATCAAACGTCCCCTCTCAAGTAGATTACAATTGTAATATGGCATGTATACACATTTCGACATATTAGGTATGTTTTACGTACTCCGTAACGAAATCAATATTTGAAATATTCTTACTCAGGTAAGTGTCACTATGTTGGAGAGGGGTCTTGGTTACTTGTTCTCTCGTCTTCTAAAATGCCCATTTTTGTCATTACTCAGGGTCCTAACCGTATGGGTATCAAGGAAATTGAGGGAAATCTGTTTATTGACAGTGGTACACCCTTCCGTTCCTTATTGTCCTCTGAATCCCGGGAGTCACAGAAAGTGTTGAGTTGAATGTTTGGGGGGTGCGAGAGCTGGTTGGAGCAACGGAAAGACGAGAGCCCAAAAGCTTCAAAATACTTAGGTTTAAGACAGCAGCATCTTTATGAATTAGCGAGTGGTGTTAAATTGAATCCCTTTCCTTTAATTTGCAGCTACTTCCATTACAACGAAATGCGAGAATTACCGGCCGGTTTCTTCTCGAACATGAAATATTTAATAACAGCGTAAGTCAGCGGAATATTCTCGATGTCTGGAGATGTTTACTTGAGAAATTTTATTTATTTGTATACAATAAGGCAGCTTGTATAGTATTACTATCACCCTTTCATTGTCTTCAATTCATGTATTAAAACGAATCAAAATTTTCCACTTTTTCCTATTGTGTGATTAATTTCAACACTTTTCATGAACCGTAGGGCTGTAGACACCAACCTTATGTGTTGCCATTTGACGAAGGAGGACGCGGATTGCGACTATACTTATGTCGACATGTCCAGCTTCTCCAGTTGTGAAACTATGTTCAGAAATCGAGCTCCTAGGATATGTGTCTGGGTGGTCGGAATTATGTCGTTGGTTGGTGCTGTGTTTGTGATCGTGTGGCGGCTGGTATTTAAGGAGACGAAGAAGAAAAACAAAATACAGTCTATCTTGTTGATACATTTGGCCGTGTCTGATGGACTGATGGGTGTCTACCTTATCGTAATAGGTGTGATGGATGCCATTTGGGCAGGGCAGTTCTTTTTGCATGACTATAACTGGCGTTCAAGTTTGTCATGTCAGATAACAGGTGCCATTGCCGTGTTGTCAAGTGAGGTGTCTGTTATGACTATTTGCTTGCTCTCCGCCGACCGGGTTAAGAATATTCTGTTCCCCTATCGTGGAAAGTCCCTTACAATCAAGGTTACGCACTTTTTGTGCCTCCTCATCTGGATCGTTGGTGGGTTAATTGCATTTATTCCCACGGTGGGCATCGTCTACTTCGGCAGTCGTCAAAAAGGTCACCACTTTTATGGCAGATCAGTTGTATGTCTCCCATTGCAGCTTTCTGCTGATAAGCCCTCAGGATGGGAGTACTCTGTTGCCATGTTTGTTGGTTTAAACTTTACTCTTGTGTTGTTCGTCATTGTGGCCTAATCCATGATTATCTACATCTCCTGCACATCAAACCGGCGCCTGGCTCAGCAAGGGACCGAAAGAGAGAGGAAAATAAAAGCCAAGCAAAGGGCAGCCGATCTGAGAAGGGAGGCCTCGCTCGCCCAAAGAGTGTTCTTCATTGTTCTTACCGACTGTGTCTGCTGGCTGCCTATTGTGGTGATTGGAATGAGGTCTCTCTTGGAAAAGTCCTTCCGTACACCTGGTGGCCTGGCAGTTTGGATCGCGGTCTTTGTTCTGCCGGTCAACTCTGCCATCAATCCCATTCTCTATACTTTATCAACAAAACAGGTAATAATACGCAACCTTCGAATCTTTACTGAAACTTCTTTCTGCTACTGGATCAGCTGAAATTAAAAGATACTTTCATAAATGTTTTGTTCTATGCTGTGAAGAATTTAAGCTGAACTAGTTTGAGCAAAAGCATTTTGTTTGGTACGAAGAAAATTTAGCGGGTTTTGACACTTGAATATTTTGCGGAGTATCTTTGATCTGCCAAAAACAAAAAGATTCACGTAGAAAAAACTCTTAAATAAAAAGAGCGTCGCATAAACTTATTACCTTTACTTCAACGTGTCGCTTTGTCTTCTTTTTTTTTTTTACAGTTCGTGTCATCCTTTTGAGTAGTAAGGTGTATTATAGAACTCAGGAGAATTTTCTGATAAATGGAAGGTGATATAACGAACTAACCCGTTAAAAGTTGTCAACATGATGCCCCTTCCCTGTTCGGTCATCTACAACGAAAAAATATATTAGTGTCACTCGATATTAGATAAAACCAGTATTATTAAGCCGCTTAGTTCCATAAAGTAAACTACTAGCGGCTTCTTTTTTTTTCTGCACATGTCTTAAATTGCGTAGCTAGTGAAATATAACGTTGTCTGTTTTCAAGGTATAAAACTTCTGTTGAGGTGAAAAGATCTCACGGAAACAAAATGAGTCACAACCAACCAAATCGGTTCTGTTTCTGGATCTCACACCAGGCAATAGTGGCAAAGTACTCTGAGCATTTGAAACCTTCATGTCGATCATGTAAACAATAGACCGCACTCTCGGTGGGCTTAGCAGCATAACATTCCACGCGAGATGTTGGGGAGACTTAAAAAAAGAGTTTTAAATCAGGAATTAAAAGCGAGGGATCTACTACATTTTCGAGTTTTTTACAGACATCCTAAGAGAGTTGTGTGGTTATTATTTTTCAAAACTAGTTTAGGATTGATCAGTTCAGGCAACGATAGGTGTTTAACCAATCAGCACGCATAGTATTTCAAATATTTTCTTTGCTTTTTGTTCTTGATGACTTACATTTAGGTACGACGTGTTTTGAACGCTAAATTCCAACAGTTCAGGAGCTATTTGATCGGAAAATGTGTACGAACTCAGAACAATGAAGGTAAGTTTATCGAAAACCATCCTTCGGAGATGAGGACAGTTATTTTCTTGTGCAGTAAAANTGTTTATGCGTCTTGGGCAGACCGTATAGGTGTGCCAGTCTCGAGCCTTTCTGGCAAATAGAATCAGCGATGTGTTTAGGAAGATTTTTTTGAACCACGGACTCCAGATCTTTCTCTTTTCCTAGTAGAGGGTGATAATGTTGGGGTGGTCTACCCCTTGTACTTGGTCTTTCCAAGGATACTTGCTTAAATTTCGTTTCATCGCTGATCGATGAACGCCACACTTAATAATCATACATAGTCAGATCTGTCCATGACGACAACACCTGACACCCAACACCTTTGTTCGGTTTCGAGATTTTGATATCATCCCTTTTGTTCAGTTGGTTGAGGGATCTTTGTAACGTTCCAGGCGGTCTTGGACTTTTCCGTTCACTGTAGTTAATTACAATAGACCGGAGTGTGGCTGCGATATACTCTTTTTTGTCGTCAGAGACAGAAAAGAGACTCAAGACCGAAAACAGGCGTTTGAGGTTATTAAGCCCCGTTCGGATTATTATATCATCTAAAAATCAACGGTCAGCCGACTTAGTACGAGGACAGCTCTCCGATCTCACGAAGAAAATTAACAGCTATGTGTGCCCGGTGTTTACGAGCAAGAAATTGCTGATGAGATCAAAGTGACGGAACCCAAACCACCTCTTGTTGACGAGCAATGCGTTGTTTATGAATACAAATGTGATCTGTGCGACGCAGATTATGTCGGCTCTGCGTGCCGACACCTATTTCAGCGCATCAACGAGCACAAGCACTCTTTCATTGGTAAACACCTACGAGACGTACACAATCTAAGGAACAAAGATCTTCGTGAACAAATTACCATCCTCAAGAAATGCCGTCGGAAGTTGGATTGTTTAATTTATGAAATGCTCGTTATCAAAGACAGAAAACCAACACTTAACACTCAATCTGACTCCATAACAGCAAAATTTTTTATCGGAAAGTTTAAGGGCACCACGCTTGTATTTTATTCACCTATTTATATTTTTTATTTATCATTTCTATTTCTTAATCATATGCATTGAGAGCTTCACACGTACTTTTCTATATAATGAACTCACAAAATTATCTATATCACCTAGGAAAGAGGGGGAGGCTCAATCGTTCTCTGGTATAAGCCGCCGTCAAATGACCACTGCCAACATGACCTGAATTTAACAAAGTACTGTCTTGTGAAAATGTTTGTTTGTAATTTTACCAAATACTATTCGGGACGAGTGCGGCTGACCGCCATATTTACTTCTGCGCGTATCAAAACAAACCAAAACGTACGCCGTTTCTTCTGTAGGCTTTGAACAAATCGGCCTCATGAAAGGAAATCTTTGCTTGCAAATAGAATTTTTATGCTTCTTCTCCCCGTTGTGTACTTTTTACTTCTTTTGGGGGCCTGGGACTTGGGTGGCATTTATTTGGATTATACCCAATACCCTTTAGGATACTTGGGCTTGCCAAGTGACCAGGCTCCCATGTGAGCGTCACTCCGTTCCATCTTGATGGTGGTTAAAGACGTGGTTTTTCATCCCTCCTCCTCCCCTTGTCCCAGCCACTCCTCATTTTCAGCTCATTATAATGTATTTTTTGGCGTTTTCAGTGCCCTCACCTTTACTGGGCCAAACTTTGTATCAAGGATTTGATTGAACAGTAATTTTAAATAAATGCGGCTATGGGATTTTGCCCATAGCCATTTACTCCAATTGTTGATTGGTTATAATTTTTCCCAGTAAACATAGCTCAGGCAAGGCAGCATATTTGGGTTGTTCATATAATTTATAAGGGAGAAAAGGCATAAATAATATTAATGTTGTGTTAATACTATATCTCTGTTTATTACGCATGTTTGGGCCAATATCTATTTTNAATACGTGCTTCCAGTGTTGTCAGAAGTTTCAATAACTTATTTTATTTCAATATTATTAAGTTTACATGTACTTACAAACACGACTTAGCTATTAACTCAGCATTCAGTTGCATACATTACTCATTATTGACTTCAGCCCTAGTGTATTATTTACTAGGTGGCCTCTGTGTTATGACCATGTTAAGCCACTAATCGTATTTACACGTGTATTGAATGCACAGGTCAGATAATGCATGTTCATCAGTCTGTCTCATTTACTTACTCACAATTGTTGTTAATGTATGACTTAAGTTGATTTTGTAGGAGCCTGAACAAAAAAGACAAAAAAAATGTATTGCAAAAGTGTAACCCAAGTGAGGATCTTATCAAAAGTGTTAAATGTTCTTGCCTTATTAAAAGAAATAATGATAATATTTCATCCCTCACTTCTTTTGTTATCTAATAATTGAACCATCCTGGAGTTCAATATAGTTTAAAGAATATCTCATAGCTGAAACGTCACCTGGAAAACATTTCAGTTGATGTAGGATTGTTTTCGGACATGGTGTCGCTTCTAGCACCAAGCTTCCACTCTTACGCTCCCCGTTAAGTTTCAATAGCCTTCCATTCCTCCTTAGGTACAAATATTTAAAATTAGTTTAGAATTTTTTTTGGCGGTTATGGATAGTTAGTACTTGAACTAGTCTCCCGGATATTCTCTCTCTCGAATCAAATCATCAGTTGAAAAACTTCTTTGGTCCAATACACAAAAACAGATTCTAACGGTTTTCTGTTGAAATAGGCAAATCTGAACGCGAGATAGAAGCCGTGAATCGGCAGAAATAAGACATTAGGAGATCGACACATCTGTAAGATACATATTTTACCATCGTTCGTTTTTTCAGCTGGCTGGGGGGGGGGATGTCGTTTTATTTTGGTTACGTTACAATAAAATTACCCTTACCTCGACTAAGGCTCTGTAGCCACCCCTTCCCCCTATTGGTAATTATGATCATCACGACCCTCCCACCTTCCCCTAATGGTGGACATGTCAAACTACCAATATAAAAAATCTGTACGGGTTATTGCTCTGACAAGGACACAGGTGAGGAGTTTGTTATTTTTCAATTTTTTTTTCAACAAGCTTTGTTCAATGAAGCTTCGTTGATAAGTTTCCTATACCAATTAAATTGCAGTTCCAAATAACTTTTCCTGGAACTTTCTGAACAAGATTTTTCACTGTAAAATAAGCGCGACGGCCTACCTTTTTCCTTTTTCTTGCGTTCTCTTGCTTTTTCATATGCATGAATACATAGAGTCAATATTTTCCGTGCTTTTTCAATCAGAGACTGGAATCACTTGTTTGCAAGCGTCCCCTTACTTAAATTCAATTTTCTTTGTTTACCGAGTCTTCAAGAGCTTGAACAAAAATGTGTTCGTTACAAAGTAATTCCAACGCCAGAAATAAAATGAATCGAATGTCATTATGAAATTTGACTTCTTCAATGAAGTAATAAGACATTTCTCTCAGCAAAGTACTCAAAGCCCAGGCAAATTAAAGCAAACACTAGTAGAATAATCATTTGGTCAGTTAGAAGAGCACACAAACTGATCACAGACACATTCTGACAAGCACCACAGAAAACAGGGCAATCCTTGAACATTGTTTCAGAGTAGCTATGACCTTAGCA